CTAGTACAAAATATACATATAATGGTAATAAGGTTATAGTTTATAAGTCTACTAGTTAATAATAGCATTGATTATAATACTGTTTTACTAAATTAATTTTTTTAATAATACACTAATCAAATTATGTTTTATTGATATTTGTATTATATAATTTTAAATACTGCACACTTAATTTTTTATTCGAATAATAATGTTTGAAAATTTAAATGTGTCTGAAATTAACCACATTATTGGTATAACTCCAGTAAATCAATAACTTTATACGCCTAAAAGATCAAATACTAGGAATATTATCTTACGAGTTTTTTACATGTTATTTGAGGCTGCATTGAAAATATTTTCACAGAATTTTAGTTTCAATATTTCCAGAAATATTCTATTAAAATATTATACCACATTCTTTTTGGAGTTACGCCATTTTACAATAGTGTATTAATATTAAACTGTACAGTAAAAGCATTAAAAAAAAGCGGTTAAGTGTGTAGTATCTCACTATAATGGATGGTGTTAAATTTTAATTCAATGATATAATATCATTGCATACAAAAAAAAAAATATTTCTGATCAAAGGTGCTTTGTCAGCCTTAGATATTTTATATTATATTTATATTTTTATAATTAATATAGTAATTGATAAGTTGAAGCAATAATATTTGCTATTATATATAATATGTATTTGTATTTGTATATTGTATATAATATTAAATTTTAAAAGTTTCAAGTACCCACAATTTATTTTCATGAATAATATTTTTGAATTACAACACAAAATTAAAATCGTTATTTTTGTTTAAATACCTAATTTTGTCCAAATTTGAACTATTATTATACAAGTAAAACAAATAAATTTTTTATTTGATTTTTATTCAACTAAATTATAGTACCAGAAGTGTATCATATAGAATATAATTATAATATTATAGGTATATATTATATTATATATATAGATTTAGATTTTAATTTAACTGTTTCTTTACAAAATAAGTAAATTTTGTTTAATCTAAACAATCAATTAAATTTTTTTTTTATGATAAATAATAATATGTTTTATTTATTAATATACTATATATATATATAATAAATATAATATTACTTAATTTCATGAGCTTAAGTTATTATGTTTTAGTTTTACTTAGTTAGGTTAATTTTTGTTTTTATTGTTTTTCTAAGTTTTTATTTTAGATTCTGAGCG